CATTCCTGCTAAGGCAGCAAGATCATGAAATATCTGACTAATCTATAGCGTATCCCCCACAAAAAAAAAATAAAATCTATTTTTTTGTTTATTTGTATCTTTGATTGAATGAATTTCATTTGGAAATTAACAGTTAGGTGAGGATCTGGCTGCTCTTAAGGACATAAAGATCCTTCAGGAGAAGGTAAACAATATCACACCTCACTGATGGCCAACACCCTGTTTGCTATAACTGGTAATCGGTGATATAATATACACCAGAGGAAAATATTTATGAGAAGACAGGCTCAGTGTTACACATGGGTTTTAGCACAGGCCACAGGAACGGAGGGACAGATGCCTTATGTAAGCTGGACCTGAGTTCTAATCTTGGAAAAACAACTGTCGGTACCTATTCAACTGTAACCATGTTCTCTGGTAGAGCTCTAGCCTGCACTACCACCTTCCTGACTTACTAAGTTATAGCTATCTAATTATTATCTGACCTGAATCCTTCCCTCGTCTACTCTGAATATGGTAGTCCTTTGAAAACACAGACAAGAAGCTAAAACTTCATTCTAGGTGATGGACTAGGGTTTCTGCCTTTGCAAACCATCTTTTTTCAGTAGTTTGCAGTGTTCCACGTGTATGTGGGGGATGAAAAAGCATACAGGCAAATCTGATATGTACATGTCTGTATTGTTCATCTGGTCAACATCAATTAAATTAGTTTGTATCTTTGTATATAACACAGTTTTCCTACTTAGTGTCTCGTGAACTACCTATCATGAATAATTATCTATATTATTGATCCATGTAGCTCTTTAGTACTTAGCTAGGTGGACCTGAGATTTCTACTGCTATAAAATCCAGAGCAACAGATCGGTGTGACCCCTTTTCCCACTACTATGAATGATGGTTAGTTTTTCCAAAGATTTCTAAAAATCTTTTTAAACTTACCAATTACTATATAATCATTTGGTTCTAAATGGATCTGCTTAATAGTTGTGTGCCATTTAAAGCCAGTTTTACTGAGCTATTTTGAAATCTTAGGTCTAATAGCACACACAGATCACCCAAAGGAACAAATTAACCCATATCACATCTTAGTCCCATTGCAATGGCCTTTTACGTTTCTTTAAAAGAATACTTTAAAGAACGGTTTGTTTTAGAGGTTATCATGGTAATTTATGTCAATTTCTCTATAACCACCACGCTGTAAGCAAAATGCACATAGCACCTCACCTTTGTGGAGGAGGGACACTCGGTGACCACGACCTGGTCCTTCCTATCACGTCTACTCGATGAGGGGACCCTGATGGTGAACAATGGTTGGAGGACATTACTTGCTCTGGCACTGACAAAGTGGAGCTTTGAAGCTCTCGACCATTGTGTCTGTAATCTGAAGGCAGGAAATAAAAGAGTAATTATCTGCCCGGTGCGGCTGCAACGCTGTTCGTAAGACAAATGTAAAGTATAGCAAATACAGTATGACATGTTTGAAAAAATCATAAGCAGAGCATGAAAACGGAAGGACGTTTGATACCCGGGTCGTCACTATGCTCACTGTATTGGGTAGGGTAAAATTTTAAGATCTTTTTAAAAACAGACCCAAGATTGTTCTAAAAATATTCCATCTCTAAAAACTTGAATGCTTCCTAACTATTCAAAGTTTCGAGGTGATGAGACGCTGCACAGTTGGCGCTCACACTTTAAGTAAGGTAAACACTAAGCAGCACTCAACGCCACTTCTCTTGAACTACTTGGCAGAGCTAAGACACCACAGGAGTGAAAACAGACCTAACGGTCAAAGCGGAGGAACACGGACGGCGGCAGCGACTCCACAGCCTCACAGAGTGAGTTAACACAGGAAGCGCAGCCACTGGGACACGGGGAGGAGGAGGAGGAGGAGGAGGAGGGGGTCTGCACATCACAAGAGCAGCAGCTCTGCGCGGGGAGGCCTGAAGCCGTGCACATGTGAAACATGTAGGTAACGGAGACGCGCGGAGCCGGTGGTCATCGGTCATTCCTGCACTAGCTGCTGGGCACTTCGTGAAACACATGGCTACAGCGTGCAATGCCTGAGGGTGGCTCAGAAGCAGCACGTGAGCTCGCATGCAATGAAGGCCTAGGTTCATGCCCGGTACACAGACACAGCTCGGGAAAACCATCTCCTTCCTGCGTGGCTTCCTATCTGCAGTGTTAGGTGGGTGCCGTGGAA